ACCGCACCGTGACGTCACTGCTGGAAGATGGCAGGAGGGAGGGGCTACTATATTTAGGTAAAAATGGCCGCTCCCAGACTCTGTAATTGAGTTTTTATTTTTTTACTGATTAATGCTAAATTCATTTAATAACCGCAAATGTATTAGATTTAGGTATAAATAATGATCCATTGGTTATTCCTTGCTGACCGGACTTTTCCTTTAAACAACAGAAGGATTTTTATTTTTTTTTATTGAACCAAAATCACATAACAAACCATAACAAACTAGCATCATAAACTCAGATAAAAAGTGCTCATTTTTAGCTCTTAGACGAATAACCAGACCTTAAAGGTTTTGCCGCTTGGAGTCTAGAGGAGCTGCAGCACGACTGAGCTATATTACAATATTCTTATATATTGCGATATGTATAGATTAAAAAAACAAGTACTGTGTATGTTCATCCGAAGATATTGATAATTTAGTTATTTTGGTATCCATGTTGTTTGTGTCAGTCCACGTCTTTTACTCTGACTGCCTCAGCTACAGATATGGCGCTGCGCCGCACTGCAAAATGGCTCCACGGTGCTATCTGCCAGAGTTTCCCTCATGGTTTTAAGTAAAATGTTTTAATTTTTAAATCGATATTAGGAACAGAAAGCAAAAAAAAATCACGATATATCACCAAATCAACTGTTTCCCAAACCCCTAGTTCAAACGGAGAGTACTTCCCAGGTCAGTAGGTGAGCTCCAGCAGACCTTAGACCTCCATTCCTCAGAGGTTTCTCTGTTTTTGTTTGTTTGTTTAACACAGCCGGCCTCCAGCGAAGCGAGGCATTAATGACGGCAGCCATTAATATGAGATGCTATGAGACCCCAAAATAAAAATAAAAAACTAATGTGTACGCACTTTATCAGTTTTTAAATATTTGATTTGGTTTATAAAAGAACCACTCCCCATTTTATTGATAGATGAATTGTTTCCTTTTTTATTTTAAGTGTCAGGCCTAATTACATGCTGACGATAGATGCTTTGCTCAAAGGCATTTTAACATGTGGAAGGAGCGGAAGCTGATTAGACTAAAAACATTCTTCAGACATCCTGTCTTCCTGTTTGACCATATAAGGATCCACAGTCAGATCATGTGCAGGTCCAATTCACAGATCGGACCTGTACATGACAGAATCTGCCTCAAATTAAACCGTTTCTAATAAAAATTAACCTTCTAAGATAAAATAAAGCTTCAAACCAGAGAAGTGATGCGTTTTTATCGTCCCAGCAGTGTAATGGTACCTGGTAGGAGAGGAGAGCCAGATCTGCCTGTTGGGGGTCTGCTTGTTGATGACGTAGGTCCCATGGCCTCCGCCCACCTTCACCGTCAGCACACCACTCTACAACACGTTTAGAGATGACAAGAGTTGCGGTTTATTTTTATATGTTTGGGTTCCCCGCAAAGCAAAGGATTAAATAACATTTAGACCAGGGGTCGGCAACCCAAACTGCTCAAAGAGCCGTATTGGACCAAAAAAACCAAAAAATAAAGCTGTCTAGAGCCGCAAAAATGTAAAAGTCTCATACATGCCTCTTTTGGCAACACGGGCTCTAAGTGTAGAAAATGACTATGTGGGCTTAAATATATAATAAGCATTCATGATTAAATCTTTATCATCGAGCAAATGTCACATAGGAGCATGAGTTGATGGACGAGCAGTGAACACTCCCATCGCGCGCTGCTTCACCGCGCAGTTTAAGTTTTGTTGCATTGATGAAATTATAGAAACATGATAAAGGAATCTTTTCTATTGTGGACGTGTTTCTGTTGGGAGGAGCTGATTGAGTCATGAGGAACCAAGCAGGAACTGACATCATCAGAGCAGAGCTCTCTAACCCTGAAATCCCACATCCTCCGTCACCATCGTTCCTTGGTGTGATTTATAGTTTTAGGATTTGGGGGGAAAAATGGAAGAAAATTCCCATCCCTGCATCAGAGCGCTACCTGTTCGATCTGTGGACGGTTTTCCATCCTTGAAACAAAACTAGCAGCAGTAGTTCACTTCTTAAATCTACATTTACTCTCCTCTAATTTATCCAGAAGTTCTGCAATCACACTTTTCTCTCCCTCCCACCTTTGTGACCGGCTGCATATTTAGCTTACCTTCCCTGGAAATACCTTTCCAAATGTTTATTTTTATATTTGGACAACCTCTCATTACCAAGCAAAAATGCAGACAATCCTTCCGCATTAATAATGAAAGAAAATGATTCGGTCCATCCTTTGAATCCTCTTTTCTCATCAGCTATCTTCCTTTTTTCCCCTTTAGGATCCGCGGTCTGAGACACTCCAGCAGCCTGGTACCGCGCAGCGCTGGTTGCAAGTTATGACACCTGATCTCTATGGCTATGACGCTAATTATTGTTTAAATTTATTTATTATACAAATGTTTACAGCATTGGAAAACATAATTTTTTTGTTTGACCTCCTGCACACCACATTAAAACAAAAGAAAAAAAAACGATTTTCATAAATTTTTGAAAAAGCTCCAGGGAGCCGCAAGCGGAACGCTAAAGAGCTGTATGCGGCTCCGAAGCCGCGGGTTGCCGACTCCCGATTTAGACCTTCAGTAATCTGTTGCTTAATAGAGAGAAAAACAGATTATTATCGACTTCTCTTTCTCCCGTGCTCACGGCCCACAGGTTGAATAATTTGGGTTTTTAACTACAGATGTGTTAGCGATCCTAATGATTAAAGGATAACTAATCTGCTTTTAGTCTAAAGACAGAGTTTAAATTACAAAATAAAACAACTTTATGAAGGAACATTTTTTATTTCCTGTCATATCTATAGAATAACTGAAAGCACAAACCTTTCTGCCACATAAAGTTCAGATAAAGTCAGAAAATCAAATGTAAACTGTAGTTTTAAGCAAACTGGGATCAGAAACCTTAATGTTAATGTTTAGATAATTTAAAATGGACGAATTACTGGAAGGAAAAATGGACCAAATGTCTTCAGCTACAGCGAGGACGCCAGAGGAACCAGCAGGCGTCGCTCAGAGCTTCGCCTTGGGTCATTTCTGACCATGGGTCACCTAGGTTACTGTCGACACATCTGACATTTAGATTATAATCTAGATTACATAAAACGTGTGTGTGTGTGCGCTCCTGTTTTTGGCATCAAAGTGAGGACTGTCTGAGCCACAGGGAGGACGTTCCGCTGCTCCTAACTTCCTATTCTACTAACAGGTTTCAGATTAAAGTGTAAACCGAGTTCAGGCTCAGGTTAGGATTATCTACCCCGGTAACAGGTTCAGTGTTAGAGCTTAGAAGGGTGGAAATGATCCTGTGTGTGTTTACAGCCGACCGGGTGAAGGTGTGACGCCTTACAGAGAAGAGGACGTCGTATTCTGGTCCAGTGAAGGCTTCATCTGCCAGATCTTCAAAGTAATCAGCCAGAGCTTCCAGCGTCTCGTCTGCCAGCTTCTCATAGGCGGCTTCTGACAGCTCCCTGTCAAAGAGAGACACAGACGTCTGAGGAAACGCCACTTCCTGGTGACACGTCGAGCGCCCAGCGGCAGGGGGATACCTTCTCTGCACAGGAGGAACTTTCTCCTTTCTGCTGATGGAGAGAGAAAGGCTTCTGCTCCGGCATTCCTCAAATCTTCTCCGTCCACACTGATAAAAAAAAAAATAATAATAATAATAATAACCGTAATCTGGAAGTTCACATCGTCTGCTTGATAGAATATAAGAGTAAAATATAAGAGTAAAACCTGCAAAGTATCACAATCTGAACCTGAAGTGCCTTTGATGACGTGCTGTGAAACGCCGCCATATAAATAACCTGAATTAAATTGTCTTTTGACAGGAAGTCTGGTTAAAATGGTTTTCTTGCTCAGATTTGCAGGAACTTTAATGCCTTTAATGTCAGATCAGATTCTGTTATTCAGTTTTAACTAATATTAATAAACTAATTCCATGAGTTTATACATTTTTTACGTTAAACCATGCATTATTCCTCCTGATTTAACCGATTTAACTTCACATTAAATTCAGGAACGTCACTTCTAATCAGAAGGTTCAAAAGTATTCATGTTTATTACCTAAGTAGAAGTATGAATCCTACTGTTTAAAAACATTTTTATTAGAAGTTAGAGGATCAACTTCAGCTTTTTACTCAAGTGTAAAAGTACCATTTGTGAAACTACTTAAAGTATAAAAGTAAAAATTAGGGATGCACGATATAATCGGCCCCCTATCGGTATCGGCCTTAAAACTAAATATCGGACATCGGCCACCCCACCGATATTTAACCCGATATTTGATCAGCTTCTGAGTTTCTAAAGTCTAAAAAAAAAATATATATATATATATATATATATATATACTACTTCTTCTTCTTCCTCAAAAACTTCTTTTTTACAGACTTAAAAACTTCTAAAGACGAGGGAAAAAATATTGATACATTAAAATATCCCAATATCTTCATATGCTGATATATTGGCATTTAAAAACACCATATCAATCTCTTTTACTAATGAAATATTGCTATATGTCATCGTTATGCTACGAAATCCCCCGAAAATTCACCAAATGTTGCCATATTTTTATATGTTGATATATTGACGCGGTATCGATCTATTTTACTAACAAAATCTCACAAGAATTTGCAAAATATCACGAGAGTTTGTAACAGAACGATGAAATTTCACCAGATTTTGAAAGTAAAATAAATCGATACTGCGTTTTTAAAAATCTATTTGATATCAGCATATGAAAATATATTTGAGTATATTATTTTTCAAAGTGTCAGAAATGGATAATAAAACTGCTATTTTCAATGACTACTTATTTTTGTCCAGCTTTAACATCGGTATCGATATCGGTTATCGGCTACATGAGTTTTAAAATATCGGCATATCGGATATCGGCCAAAATCCCAATATCGTGCATCCCTAGAAAAAATAATGCAGGAAAAAAGTAAGAATAGAAGCTTTAATCCTCATACTGGTTACTGCATTACCGTATTAAATGAAAAATGTTTCTATAATTCTTGATGATAACTTCCTTAAACTTTATTTTCTTAATTTTATAACCAATGGGAACAGTGTCACATTTAACTTTGCATCATCATGAAAAACTATTTATTTTGGTTTGTGGTGAGCAACAAGTTGGGGCAGCACCGAGCCCAGCAACAAAGAAATTAATTGTGTGGATGAAACTAATTTTTTTTAATGTTTTGTTTTTTTTAAAATACCAACAGGCCAGAATGAAAATGAACTTTAATGACCCAAAACTAACGAGTCTGAAAATTTAAGGACTAGAAGTAAAAAGTTTTTAAAAAAAATAATTACTCCAGTAAAGTATAGACAGCTAACATTTCTACTTAAGTACGGTACCAAAGTATTTGTACTTTGTTACTTGATACTTCTGCTTCTGAATGTATTGACGTTTGGCCTTTTCAAAGTCTTAGTCTCCGTGAACCTGAGCAGATTTAGTTTTATCTTCTAATATTGAAAGAAACCTGCTATAAGCACCGCCATATAAATACAGCTTTTATTGGCCAATAACCCAGATTTTAATCTCATTGTTTTCAGCATTTTAAAAAATGATTTTTACCAGGAGAAAAAAAAAAACAGTTAAAACTCCGGAGTTAAAGGCTTATATTGTTGGTAGGAGAACAGTCTGACCTCCCTGACAGGCTGGAGGAGGCTGGGATGGACGCTGCTGGGATGGACGCTGCGTGCCGTCAAACATCGAACCTCCTGCAGGGCAGGCAGCCTTTGGATCTAAAAAGAACAAAACCTTTGTTAGATATTTGAAATAAAAATCTGAACTTTAATATTCATGGAGGGTTAAAGTGGACAAAATTAAATTTAAAAAAATGTAAAATTAAATAGATAAACGCTCCATTAAATCTCCCTATTCCATTTATTTTATTAATACAGCACTATGCAAATAAATGTACCATTAAATTATGAAATGTAAAATAATTAAATGCATTGTTATATAAAATAATAATTCATGGTACATTTATAAATATGATGTTCTCTTTAAATGCATTTATTTTGTAGGGTTTTTTTTTATTATTCTTTCCCCTTCCAAAATAATTCAGCTTCTTTACAAAGAAAACAAATTAATAAAAACAACCACACAGATGACCCCTCCCCCTCCTCAAACGCTGGCTATACAGACAGCAACAAGATAAAGATCAGCTGTTAATGGCAGCCAACTCTCAGCTAGAGGAGCGATATCTATGACTGACATAAAAAACAAAACATTGGGCAATAGCAGCATTGGCGCTGATATATGGGGCATCTGTTAATAAAACTCATCCCTGTAGCAAAGTTAACTATAAACTATTCTGCAAATGTGTCAGAAAAATAGCATCTCAACATAAAACCCAAACAGCCCATCGGGTTCTTCAATCCAAAATGCAACAAATAAGACAGAAGAAAAGGTTCAAACCAAACAGATTTAATGGGAGATATGTTCCCCACTAATAATAAATTATAGAAAATTCAAACCCAGCATTATAACTGGTTTATTCCTGAGAATTTCTCTATAGTTATGCTGCTATAGGCTTAGACTGCTGGAGGACATAGGGACCCCTTTTCATCATTCTATCTCTATTTCCCCATTCTACCGTATTGTTCAGTTCAACCTCAAACTTTATCTCTCTCCTCTTTTTCTCATCATAGCAGCTTCATCTGGTCTGTTCCTGTTTGGCTGTGATTTCATCCTGGAGAGAAATATCAGCCAACTTCCAACCACCTCCTCTCCTCTAACCTTCCCTATCAAGTGTCACTTCCCATTAAGTCACAGTCGCATTCTAGGAGGGCACCTTGATTGAAGGTGGGGGGTGAAAATGAGAATGGGATGTCCTCTTTCCTCCACTGGAAAAGGTAAGCAGTTGTTGCTATGGCAGCACACATCAATCAAACATTTACCCTTTTCTTAAAAACATATATATTTATACAGTAAAAGAAAAATATTTCAAAGAGGACTTTCCCTTTTGGAATTAATGATGTCTTTTTTTTCATTTTTCCTGACTTGCAATTTTCTGTTAATGTGACAAAGATGCAAATAACCAATGGAGCTTCACTTTAAACGCAGGTGTTTTGTCCGCCACTAGCTCGCCATTACAACTAATGCCAAAATCCAGCCGGCCTGCACTGATGTAGACTCGCTGTTTAAGGGCTGAATGGTCCACTCACCCTACCTTCTACATGATTTGCGATGGCCCTTAATATGGCGGAGCCTCCACTGGAACGCCCAAACAGAGGGTTAGTGTTTAGGGGTAGTGGGGATTGGGCCATCACCGTGGCTGCTGCCATTACAACTTTCATTGTAGATGATAAAGTTGGGCCAGTTTCTCGGTTTAGTCCTGTTTCTCTAACAGAGCCACCTATAACCTTTTCTAACATAGAAAGCATTCATGGATCAGTACTTCTATATCTGCTATTCTCTCCTTAAATCTTCAGTCGGCTTCCTCCCACTAGTCCAAAAACATGACTGTTAGGTTAATTGGCTTCTCTAAGTTCTCCTTAGGTGTGTGTGAATGGTAGTTTGTCCTGTTTGTCTCTATGTTGCCCTGAGATGGACTGGAGACCTGGACCCCGCCTCTCACCCACTGACAGCTGGAGATAGACACCAGGACCCCTGGGATAAAGTGTGACAGAAAATGGATGGACGATCTAATTGAATTGTCACTAAAAGAGCGTTGAAATGACTGAGAGTATGAGATAAAGAAATGTGTCCTCCGCCCAGCAGATGGCGCTAATACAATACTAAGTGGTGCGAAATCAACAGAAGAAGAAACATCAGTTCAAACTGTTTTGGATCAGCTGATTGATGTGTTTTCAGCAAACAAGGCAGACAGCGGTGGGAAGTTAATACAGAGTTGGTATCTTCTTGTTAAACACAAACCATTTAGAGTGGGATATATAAATACAGAGGAAGTTAAACCTGATAATGCTTCATAACCCATCATCTGACCCAGGAGCCATCATGACCGCCAGCCGCCGGTAAACACGAGCGTTTTCTGGATGGATGAACAGAAAGTCTGATGTTACCTGATGGAAGCAGGTCCTCTGCTGCAACGCGAGGAGACACATTTGTGGAGAAATCCTCCACGCTTTGGTGAAGAAGAACATAACCTGCTTCCGAACCCAACAGCTATGCTGCTGCTGCTGCTGTTTCCTCGGTGCTCAGTGGCAGTTGTTGCGCTCTGCTGCCACCGCGTGGACTGGCGGTGGAAGCGCCTCCTCCCTGCATCCTTTCTATGCTGCTTTCTGGGTTTCACAGGACGCTTTTCTCCAGATTTAGTTGGAGATTAGTGATCAGTCTGGGCTGTTTAGAAAATCAGCTGATTTAATGACGCACCTTTGGAATAACTGAGATCCATTTTTTATTGATATTCTTCCTTCCTTCTGGAAAATGACATCTTCAGCAGCTTTAAGCTGAGGGTCAGCGGTGTCAAGTAGAAAGGACAAATACTTTGTATGTTGGCTATCTATCTATACTTCTCATATCTATACTGGAGTAATTATTTTTAACTTTTTACTTCTACTCCTCATATTTTTATGTAATTATCTCTAATTTCTACTCCTTACATTAAAAAAACCTATTTAGTTATGTGTCATTTAAGCTCATTTGAGTTATGGCCTGTTTGTATTTAAAATATATATAAACCATCATCCAGACCATTAATTTCTTTGTTGTTCACCACAAACCAAAATATATAGTTTTTCACAATGATGCAAAGTTATATTTGACACTGTTACCATTAGTTATAAAACTAAGAAAATGAAGTCTAAGGAAGTTATCATCCAGAATTGTAGAAAAATGTTCCTTTAATAGAGTAGAGCAGTAAAGCTTCCTGCAGGTACCGAGGTCCAAACAGAAGCTCAGAGGCAACACAGTTGCTGCTCCCCTCCTCATTAGATAATCCTCTTCACTGTCTATTTTTAAAACTCATCTTGAAACCTATTTCTATTCTTTGGCTTTTAATACAGCATGACTTTTGTTGGTTTTTTTTATATTTGTTTTTATTTTTTTATAAAACAATAAACGACCCTCCTTCGCAGGTCCAACATTTGTCCTTTAGGACAGCAGGTCCCCTTCTTCCCCCGAAATAAAGATATCTGGAACAATAAATACTTCCTTTGGGTCAACATTAGCTAAATTGCTGTAGGTTCGGTTTTTCAAGCAGCTTTGTTGATTTAGACCGATGATCAGAAAAGGAAAGAAGAATGTGTGGAAGAAGAGTTGTTGCTGAGGAAAACTTCAGCAACAAACATTTATTTTCAGCCTGAGTTACAGTTTCTGTTTGGTTTGGCAGAAATGTTTCATTTTAACAAAATCATCAGATGTAAACAGAAAAATATGAGCAACAGGAACTGATATGATGGAGATTCTCTTAAATCCTGAGGAACAAACGTTTTGTCAAAATATAATCTCATATCCAATTTAAGAGGCGTGGAAGACAGAGAGAGTCTGTTTTCTTTGAGAAGTGATTGATCCCTTTTCGACTGGTTGGTTTTCACGGCTTCCACCTGCCCTTCAGTTTGCATTGAGGCTCCTGCCGCATGGGGTCTGAGGTCCATGGAGGTCCACCTTAGATCTGCAAACACATGAAGACCACAGTCCGTTAGCTGACCTTCATCCTGTGTGACATGAAGCTAAACTAATAACCCTGTAGAATAAAGCTTTAATAAAACTTTTCTCTTTTTTATTTACAGTAGACATGCACAGACAAGACATAAATAGAACAATAAATATATATTTATATAATACATTTATTTTCCTTTTATTTGAGCAGTCAGAAAATTTGCAGATGGAATAAGATTCATGCTTAAAGTAAGTAAAATCATTTCTCTTATCTCATTCTAAGTGCATAATATCTAACTATATTGTTTAAGAGGGAAATCCTATCCACTCTTTGCAATTTGTTTTAGATTTTAGAAGCAGCACATCTTTAATCTGAATGAGACAAGCTGAGCAGGTTGTCGCACATTCTAGCTAAAATAAAAACAGTTAAAGTGAAATTAAATCAATAATGAATAAAGAGCAGGAACTTGGAGTTTAACTGCTTCTGTGAGGTTTGGGAAGAGGGAGCCTTTTGGGACGTGCACTTAGATTTAAGAGGTTATAATAGTGACGGATTAATGAGGCGTTTCACACATGTGCAAACTGTGTCACTGAATACTGACACCTGCTGGACATTTAACATCCCTACATGCAGCCTCAGACTAACCACCATTTTAACTGACATCTGATCTGATGACCTAACTTGATTGAAGCCATTGTTTGCTATAATGTATGATTTCCATCCCTTCTTAATCTTCTACAATCTTCTCTCATATAAAGCCTTAAATGGCCAAGCTCCATCTGATATCAGAGATCTGATTGTTCCTTATGTTCCTAACAGAGCACTTCGCTCTCAATCTGCAGGTTTACTAGTGGTTCCTAGAATTTCTAAAAGTAGAATGGGAGGCAGATCTTTTAGTTATCAGGCTCCTCTCCTGTGGAACCAACTACCAGTTTTAGTCCGTGAGGCAGACACCCTGTCTACTTTTAAGGCTAGGCTTAAAGGAATAGTACACCCAAAACATGATTAGCCTTCATTTTCTACTCACCCCCATGCTGAACAACACTCTGGAGTACTTTTTTGATATCTCAAATGCATCTGGAGATCTGGGAGGCTTCTTGCTGTCTGCTGACATTCAAATAATGGAGGTCTATGGCGCCCGAGGCAGAAAGGTCCATAAAAGTCCACAAAAAACGTGTCAATATTCCTCCATACTGCTCGTCCAATGTATTCCAAGTGTCCTGAGTGGGTAGCGTCCATAATTTACTCGAAACGAAGTCATTTAGAATGTTTTTAGAGCATAAACAGTAGTGTATAGGATTTCCTGAAAGCGCGCACCTGCGAGTTCACGACGCTACGGAAACCGCGGCAGACCAAACCAGATGAAAGTACCCACTCAGGACACTTGGAATACATCGGACGAGCAGTATGGAGGAATATTGACACGTTTTTTGTGGACTTTTATGGACCTTTCTGCCTCAGGCGCCATAGACCTCCATTATTTGAATGTCAGCAGACAGCAAGAAGCCTCCCAGATCTCCAGATGCATTTGAGATATCAAAAAAGTACTCCAGAGTGTTGTTCAGCATGGGGGTGAGTAGAAAATGAAGGCTAATCATGTTTTGGGTGTACTATTCCTTTAAAACTTTCCTTTTTGATAAAGCTTCTAGTTAGAGTGGCTCAGGTTATCCTGAGCTATCTCTATAGTTATGCTGCTATAGGCTTAGACTGCTGGAGGACATAATTCTACTTCAATCCATCTCCATTCTCCCACTCTGCAGAATCTGTTAGTTCAATCTCTAACGTTATGCTCATATTTTGGGCCGATGCATTGCATTTATAGATGCACTTTTAAACACACAGTTTAGTGCGGAAGTCAGTTTGAAACAGCTTCTGTATTGGTCACATGACTCTTTTGAAACAACACAGGGTTTTGCACTAGTTTCACTGGACCCATCACTAGGTTTGACTTTTAATTGCAAACATACTTTTAAATGTTAGCATCTCTCTGCTAGAGTATTTAAATATAAACTGACTTTAATTCTAATTATCAATCTCTACCGAGTTTTCTATTGATTACGCCTTAATTATTTTCCCCTTGGGAACAAATTCTGACAGAAGGCTTTATCCTTGTTCTCCATATACGCCCCCTGAACAGAATTATACCTGAACCTGCACAGAGACGCTGGACGGAACGCACGGAAGCGGGTCAGTACCAGCGCTTACCGAGACAATGTCACAGTGAAGCCGCTTTCTGTTGAGAATCAGACAGTAAAGCGTCATCTGCTCCTACCTGTTGTGAGTCATGTGACTTTTGACGAGGTGCCCTGCAGCCAGAGCACTCATCAGCGAGAGCTCTCCAGCCAGGACGGTGGCACAGATGATCCGGGCCAGCTGGCGGGCGTTCTCCCCTGGAGTCTGCTGACTGGCACCTTGGACGCCCAGCATCTGAACATTAAACACACACTTAGTGAATGAGGATATTCAGGGGGAAGTGAGGATCTACGATGCTGATGGGGTGACCTCTGAACAGCAGCTGCCTGAACCGGGCAACCATTTATAGGTCTGTGAATCGTCGCAGTACGAAGTCATATTGATTTCTTTGAATCGACAAATAATTATCATATAATTCACATTCTGCAATAGTAATTGCACGATTGCTTTATAATAATTTAAAAGTAAAAAAGATCACCTGTTCACTATCAATAACCATCGATATATTTATTTTGCAGCGATGTGTTTGGATCATTATTCTATTCATTCATGTGGAGCCATGTATTGTTACATCCCTAATTAATTGAATATTTCGTTTTTTTATATTCTCTCTCATATTAAAAGTTAAGAGCTGCAACTTTTTAAATCACAACAAATAATTTTTGAAAAATAATACATTTAAAGAACATCTAGAGTAGCAGAGCATAAGTATTTACGTATATAACTAACTCTATATATGCCGTAACTTTTGAGGAGTCCAAAATATAAAAATATTTCGCTCTGGTTACAAAGTCAACTTGAACATGAAAGGAGTTTGCAAAAATAAAAATAGGAGGTTAGAGTCGGGAGAGACGGAGGTCAATTATTTGCAGATTTTAGCAACTAGATTAGATTCGATTAGATTAGATTAGATTTTATTGTCATTGCACAGGTACAAGGCAACGAAATGCAGTTTAGGTCTAACCAGAAGTGCAATAGCAGCAAGTGCAGGATAAATAATGGTTCTATAAATACAGGACATGGTTTCTATTGAATAAGTATAGAGATGGCAATAGTACTCACTTTCCGTACTTGAGTAAAAGTACAGATACTTGTGTTAAAAAATACTCTGGTAAAAGTGGAAGTACTGATTAAACTTCTTTACTCAAGTAAAAGTAACAAAGTACAGGCTTGTAAATTTACTTAAAGTATAAAAGTAAAAGTAGAAACCACTTTTTTCATGCCGTTGCCTACATTTTAAATGGATGTCTGCCAATAGGACTAGATCTCCGTTGTGTTCATTTTCAATCATCTCATCGTCCATGCTACTATGCTAACGCCACCGCCACCAAGCTGCGATGATTTGCCGCCAATGAATACCGCAGAATCTGTCGATTCATCTTGTAGTGGTGCGTCAAATGCAACGTAGATTCCCATCCAATTAGATTGAATTTGGTATTGATGACGTGAAAAATAATAACGGTAACTCCATTGAAATGATTCAAAACTAAAGTAACGAGCCAATTTTTTAAAATGTAAGGAGTAGAAAGTACAGATATTTGTGTAAAAATGTAAGGAGTAGAAGTAAAAAGTCGCCATAAAAATAAGTAGTAAAGTAAAGTAAAAATATCAGAAAAATCTACTTGAGTACAGTAACGAAGTATTTGTACTTCGTTACTTCCCATCTCTGAATACTATTATAAACAGAATCTTACTAATAGATGAATACAATATATAGATAACTAGTGTTACGAAATAAATTTACAGCTGGATATGTACCGAATATAATAAACAGATGGATATTACTATAAAAAAGGTTTTTACAGTTATGTACAATAGCATATATACAGATGAGTTTTACTATAAAATTAATAAATAAAGTTTGGACAGAAGCTATCTAAATTAAAGTGCAGTGGAAGGTAATCGCATATTACATTTAAAGTACATTATTGTAGATTTAAATGTAAACAATTGGTGCTGTGAATAAACAGTCGGCAGTGCAAGTCAATAATCATACTAGAGCTGGGCTACATGGCTCGACAATCTGATCTCTGATCTTTTTCCGACCAAATCCAATTAATCCCCTTTTCCCTTAAGATTCATGATAAAAAAAATGACCAGTGACATAGTTGACTAGTTTTTACTTCAATCATTCCATCTAGGAGGTGACCTTAAAGGTATAGAGGACACTACTTTATTTCCGGGTGGATCATCTCAATAAGTGGTCCTCCTAACTGTCAATCATTCTGGTGATATGTTTACATAAGGCCATCCGACGCGCTCGTCCGGTTAGCTATCTTTTTCTGCGCACTTTCAGGCCTATATCTGTGGTGAGCTACGGTTTCAGACAGTCATTGAAGCTCACTTTCCTCACCACGGTTCTGTGAAAATGGCCGAAGGTCGTAAGAGAAAAAGTGTCTATGAAGTGAATGAGAAAAAAAGAAAGGCCTCAGAAGAGGCAGATATATCCCAGAATGGTTGGTGGGATTTGCTGTCACAGCGGCCCGCTGTCGCTGACAACGATGACTGATAAAGGTGGCGCAGGAACCGCACATTGGAGGAGGAGTTAAGTTACAAACTGGGAGCAAAAAGCAGTGATCATCTGTCCGAACAGTCAGTTAACTGAATTCAATACAAAATCCACCATATAGTCCCCGCTCTATATAGTGAGTGAGGGATTTAGGGGTTAGAGCGGACATTTGGGGACAGTTAGCTTGTATGAGCTATGAGAACAGTAACTTTTAAAAGGAGCGTGCACGAGGAGAAATGGGTACGCTCTCAGATGCATTTAATACGCCATCCCTCTCCAGAGCGGGTACAGGGTTGTGCATGTACATTTTGGGTTTGGAGAGGGCAGGTCTTTTACAAAATCTTTGAAAGTCCTCCACTATATCTTTAATTTAAAGGGCAACGAAATTCACAACAAAAAATATATAACAACCTAAATGTTTACAACTGGTTTTATCCCTCAGAGAGCTTGTTTATTAGGAGACATTGAAGAAGGAAGAGTGATAAATGACGTCACTCTGAGGTATGCAAGCTTAAGGAGGGAATCAGGAATCAGATTTTAAACCTTAATATTTATCTAATCCTCATAAACAGAATATTTGATTGAATGATTGTACAGATTAATCACCCAGCCCCACTAGTAGCTCTTTGATAGAGTTTGAAATGGTTTCTTCTCAGCGTAACATTTCTCAGATTAAAGCCAAAAAAGGAGGAGAGGATTTAAGGAGCCATGCAGAGGAGGATGCTGTTCTCCTTCTTTACTGATAAATTAATTAGTACTAGTGGGCGGGGCAGCTGCTTACCAAACACTAGAGATAAAAAACGCGGTGAGTGACTGCACCACCTACTGGCCAGAGGGACTTAAACTTGTAGCTATAACCCAGAAATAAAACTAGACACTATATATATTTTTTTATCTTTAACTGTTGGTGGGTTAAGGCTCAAATAAAAACCCACTCTGATGGATGTTTTCCTGTTTTGGCATCAGAGTGAGGACCGTTTGCTCTGATTTTATGGTGAGGACTATTTGTACCCATGTGAGGAGACTTAGCAGGTCTTCCTTTTGTTTCTGCTAAAGGTTTGCTTTCAGACTAACGTGTGACGGTTCAGGTTAGTTAGGCTAGCAATTATAGCAGGATCATTACATGCAATAACCCTGTATAATGATCCTATTATAAAAAAACAAAAACTGTCATATGTGAATGCATTTGCATATATTGTAAATATCCCATGCACCTTTTTCTTCCTTTGACACGTTCTGCTTCTTTAACTATTTGAGGTGATGTAAGGAGTAAATTTCTCCACTGTGAGATCAATAAAGTCAATCAATCAATGCTAATGGTTAGGGTTAGATAATGTCAGAGTTAAAGAAAATAAATGGGAGTCAGCACATGGTGGTCCTCACTTCATATAGTAAGATGAGAGAATGTAGGTGTTTGTGGACTGGATTTGGTACATTATGAGGACCTTCCCAGCATTGTGCTACTTTATGTGGATTAACAGGTTCTCAAGGGGCCCTGCCCATTGATCCCCATTTGGAAAACTTCTGTTCTTGGGTTGGGGGTTAGGATAGTAGTAGGGCTGAACCAATTAATCAGATTAAACTTGATTAATTGATTATTGAAATAATCGTCAACTAATTTATTAATTGTTAACTGGAGTATAGAGTCTAAAATATTCCTTCAGCTGTCAAAAAATCTTAAATGCATAATGTTTATATATATATATATATATATATATATATATATATATATATATAT